TTATGCAAAAGGTCGCTGTGTTAGTCCGGGTAGACTAGAGACATAAATCCAGGGAAACTCATATGTGTATAGAAAGGGCTTTATATACAAGAGCAGTTGAATATTGAGAAAACGTCCCAGCCCAGTCCAGAACAAGTCCATAAGTCCGATATTAGATCATATGTCTGATACCGATCTATAAAGTCCTCTTCAGATGCACAAACACATGCAATGACGCTGAATGCAGGAGGATCACAGGCCAGTGGGTGAGAAGTCTTGTGGATCCAGTGGTGTTGTAAGCATCTCAGCACTGATAGGAGTCTCTACATGGCTCCTCCAGATCCAGAGCTCTGGCTGCATCAGTGGAGCTCCATATCAGGCTCATCATCCATAATGTCCCCCAAGGAGTGAGCCTGTGTCCCGCCTCCGGCAAGCTATTTATCTCCTTAGCCCCTCCAAATGAGTTCATCAAGCTGCAACCATAGTGACAGGCTAAACTACACCCCTTCACTCTTAATAGTCTCAAGTTGACACCAGATGATGTAACTACCACAATCACTCTAACTCTGGACCGACTGGGGACACCCAACAACGTGAGGCAGAATCTCCTCGATGACAGTGGGCACCTACAGCTGGAACTGCATTAGGACAAAAGGCTACAAAGACAAAGACACAGGGGGTGAGACATGGGATTGGGTACAGTGCGAAGAGGTGTGCTACCTTCTCCCGTGCAGGAACACCAACCAGGAAGTTCCTCTGAGCCTCAGGGCTCTTACTGGCCTCACCACTCAGCCCTGATAAGATTACGTCACGTCTCCTGAGGTTTGGGCAGCACTGGGCTCCCAGGTGGTCTGATCAACCCCTACTCATTAGCCTCAGGTGTTGGTGTAGCCCAAAAGAACCAAGAACGAAGGCCAAATGGCTTCATGTGGGGTGATTCCACACCTCACAGAAATTCTTTCCAGAAATGTCTACTTTGTCTAACTCCCATGGACGTTAAGCCAGAGGGCTGGCATTGGCTACAACTGGGGTGTCTGAAAGAACGCTTCCAAACGAGGGCGGTATGGAAAGGCGGCACAGCTGACTTAAATTGATAAAATATCCCAGGGAGACCCCGGTCCCTTCGCCAGGGAGGTTCTCCGAGGTGTCTTTCTGAAGCGTGAGGACAGAGTTTCCTCCCATGAAGTACGGTCAGTCGTCCAGTCCGCAGAACCCACATCGTCATGAGGGTACCAGAGACAGTTACTCTTCAGTGACAATAAAGGGACCTGCCAGTCTAAACGGGCTTCAGATCATCACAGCGCCATCCGAACACGGGACTGTCAACTCCTCCTCGTGCTAAGATGCGCCTCTTTAAACACTCGTCAAGAAATGATCCAGACTAAATCCCCCTGGCTTCCTTTCTTATTTTTATTTTTCCTGTTATGATGCTTGCAGCCAGCAAGGAGGTCACTAGCCAAGTTGTGAGTAAAACCTCCCATTTGGTAAAATAATTAAAACAGTTACCATGATAGAAAAATAATCTCTTTTTTCTGTTAAAAAATGGATCCATAAAATGATAATATGGGGGCAATGGACCCCAGCATGCCAGTGATTAGGAGGACTGAATGGAATGGGACCCCTCTGTTCCGTTGTCCCTGGGATTGCCAGGGCTCAGAATTAACAGGGTGGTAACTGAGAACCACAGTTTCAGGCAGTCGGGGCAGTCATGTTGATAGCCATGAGTCAGTAGTTTGCCGTGACTTCTACTCAGCAAAGAAAGGAGCGCAACACCTCTTGCGATCAGACAGCATTGTAAAGTCGGTTATGGCAGATGTGCTGTGGTGGTTGTTGTTGTTGTTGTTAGGTGCCATCGACTCAGTTGCGACCCACAATGACCCTATGCACAACGATGACCCTATGCAGAAGGAAATAATACTGCACTCCCTGTGCCGGCCTCACAGCGGTTTCCATGCCTGAGCCCATTCATGCAGCCACTGTCTCAACCCATCTCAATGAGGACCTTCCTCTTT